CATTAGCCCTGATTCTCTTTCAGCCTCATAAATAGTTAATTGGAGCACAATGATAAAGAGCTTCATGCTCATATTTGTCCTCAGTTACACTCGTGACGTTCAAGTGGGGTCACATGGAAGCTTGTTTCTGTCACTGAATAAAAAATAAACAAGGTAATTGCGACTTTTTATCTCGTAATTCTGATGTTTTTTCTTGCAATTGCGAGTTTACATCTCGCAATTCTGACTTTTGATATATGGTGTGATAAAAACTCGCACTTGCATGTTATGAAGTCAGACCTGTGAGATATAAACTCACAATTGCGAGTTACACAGTCAGCATTCTGTGATATAAACTCGCAATTGCATGTTATGAAGATGATGATGAGACCTGCGAGATATAAACTAGCAATACTGAAAAATAAGGTCAGAATTGCGAGATATAAGCAATCCTGACTTTTTTTTCTCCGTTTATATCATGCAATTCTGACTCACAATTGCAAGTTGCAAGTTTATATCTCGCAATTCTGACTTTTTTCTCTCAAACTCGTAAACTCACAGTCAATTGCAAGTTTATATCTTGCAATTCTGACATAACTCACGATTACGAGTTTGTATCTTTCAATTCTTAGAAAAGGTCAGAATTAAGAGATATAAACTCTGAATTGCGAGAAAAAGGTGGAATTCTGAGTTTATATCTCATTATTCTGACTTTTTTCTCAGAATTTTGAGAAAAAGTACGAATTTTGAGTTTTTTTTTTTGTTTTTTTTTTAATCCCGGAGCTGAAACGGACTTCCTGAGGGTCAGAACACTCTCCACATGGGCAGATTTTCCATGTTTCGAGCAGCTGTTGGGTGCCGGGGTCAAAGGTGCGAGGGAATGTAGTGTTACTTTATTGCTCTTTCTCCCAGAGGTCAGTGATGAGGGCCTAACTAAAAAATGCTCTATTTACTGACCCGCTATTAAACATTGTTGTGATTATGAATCACTGTAACTGGGGAATTAAAAAGCATGCACTTGTATTTACAGGAGGCTTTTTGGTTTTTACACTTCAGCAGTTCTCTGCTACCATTCTAGAACCGGCTGTTCTTCCAAGAAAAAGATTTTTGTCTCGGAGCACGTTTTTGGGTCAGATAGGATCCTTTGCACCAAAACATGTCAAGCTCTGGTCTCTATGCAACAGCTGAACTAAACAGATACAGTTTAGCTGAAAGATGTGATGCTAATGAGGTTCCGGAAATATTGGTGAAGTTTGTTTCACCGCAGGCTCCTGCTGACAGACTTTTGGTCCACTTTGCATTTAGATTACAACAAAAAAACTTAACCAATCGCAAGTTTTGGTTGCGGTTCATCTTGATCTCTTTAGGGTACAAATAATTGCGAAGCAATGTCAGTCTGTTGAACAGTTATGCAGTAAACAACTAGCAGAAATGTATATAGACTTTGTCCAAATTTCTGTCCATCCAAAAGTAAAAAGTACTTAATTTCTCAGACAGTTTTAGAAAATACAGTTGTGCTCATGGATATCTATCTGTCACTCCAATATTTTAAACTGTTCACAATCAGGGTTATTTTAGTATAATCTATTTACTATTGTACTTTTATTTATATTTTTATTTTTATACTTTGTTTTCATTTTCATTTTAGTTACATTTTTAGTAATTTTGTTATGTGCTTTTGTCATTTTTATTAGTTTTTATTTATTTTAAATATTACTATTATTTCAAGTTAGTAATTTTAGTGCTTCAACTTAAACTAAATGTTTTCTTGTAATTTAATTATTTTATTTTATTTAAATTAACAAAATGTTTTATTAGTTTGAGTTTTAGATAACCTTTGCACTTTGCAGTTTATTTTCCCATTTTTTGAGTAAAAAAAAAAAATGGAGGGCGGGGCTTGAATTATCAATTTGGATTTGATTGGACTGTGAGACGTGACAGGTAATTAGAGGGGAGGGGCTTAATGAGATGAAGCCTTGTTGATGTCAGCAAACATGAAAGTATTTCAGAGGTGGAGAAAGTTGACTTTTGGCTTTTGTCTCTTTGCAACATCGATACTTGTTGAACTGAGTTGATTCAACACTGAACTGAGCTGAATAATGGCACCATTGTCATCTGTAGAGCTGCTTTATAGCTAAAAATTTATTTCATTCACAACTTATGCATTTTGCAACATTAACACTGTTTTTTTACTGTGAAATTGCTTTGAAACAATCTGTATTGTATAAAGCACTATATACATGTGACATTATGACTATATACATGTGACATGTGACATTAGGCTGGGACTGCGAATCGCTTGTTTTAGCTGATTGGCAGGTCCAAGCACAACTCTTAGAAATAACAGCATGCTCGACCAACACAATGCATGTTTCAAATGACTTATGTAAATGTTCAGCAGATTGCTGAAAACCCGGCCCGTGCAGTGACAGTATCCCACAATTCCATCCCAGCGTTCCCCGAGGATGACTCTCTGCATACAGAACATTCTCCATTCAGATCCTAACCACAGGAGTGTGTCTAGAGAGCAGCGAGGAGCGCGCAGGGGTGGAGGTGAAATTATGCTTTTATACTCGGCGTCTTGTGCCAAGCCTGGGTTTATGCTACAGCTGATGTACTAGGAGGGAAAATTGAATCTTCTCCCAGACTTAATCCTCAATTGCTCCACCTGTAATGCATTTTGGACTCACACGCTCTGTTCCCCCACACAGTTTCATGCTTATATTTCAGATTTTTCTGCAGCAAGCCCTGAACCCAGAGTGTCTGATTATTTATCACAGGCCAGGCGAGATGTTTCAGACTGGCAGTTTTAAAATGTTTTGAGACTTGCAAATAGATTTAAGTGTAAACACCTCCAAGTCTGCGTACAATTATTCTTTTCTCATGTATAACTTTGGCTTGAGCGCGTCTTTCCGATGGAACTGAATGTTCGAGAGCGTCGTGACACATTCGTACACTAAACATGCTGGAAATAGCCTCACATTAATGCATTTGAGAGATCAATCTGGATTCGTTACGAAAGTGAGCAGAAAACATTTAAACGTTTAGAGAGTACAACAAGTTAAATATTTGATCATTGCATCTTATCGCGTGGAAAATGTAGTGCCACTTAGTGGCAAACCTGGGAATTGCTGCAGCATTTTAATTGGATTTTTGCCAATTATTTTCAACTAAGAATATGTTGTGGTACAGATGAAACACAAATGTCTCCTGCATTACTTTAGTCCAGGGTCATTATAGTTAAATTTAAATATAAATAAATAAATGAATCAATCAATCAGATATTTTTGTTACTTGAAATAAAATACATGTTAAACATTTTTAAATATTTAGCTTTTTAACTTGAACTAAAATATCTAAAACTGAAATAATAAAAGTTAAATAGAACGTAATAAAATTGATGAAATATTATATATATACAAAATGTAATATATATGAACCAAAAACTACTTAAAAAATGTCAAAAACACAATAAAAATACTAAAATATTAACTAAAATAGAAAATATATAAATAAAAACGGATTCAAAATATTAACAAATACTATAATAGTACCTCAATAATAATCTTGGCTTTCTGCATTTTAAGACCACTTAAGCTCCTTTATACCATTTATAATATTCCATAATGCCAAATTAGCTTTTCTTTTAACATATTTCCCACTAATTGCATTAATCTATGATGACCTAACATCATAATACAGGATTTATACATTTGTTTTAACAGGGGCATTTCCTTATCTTCAGAAATGGCTCTGCTGTGTTCGCGCTAGGATTTTTCCCTGCAATTTTTAACCTTATCTTTATTTTGCTGTTTGGAGGACATGACGCAAGGACTTAATATTAGTTGGCCCTCAACTGACCCGAGAACCGAGACCGGAAGAGACTGTTGCCTCTGCAGCTTTCCAAACAAGCACTCCCACATTCCCTGCAGCCGCTCCTCATCGGCGGGAGGCCGGGAAACTCAAGAGCGTCACCGTGGGATGTGGACATCCATCAGACTCTTAAAATGCCTTGGCTGCCAGTTTCTGTCCAGCCAACGGAGAGATGGTCCTTAGTTCCTGTGCTAGAAACTGGTTTTCTTCCTCCTGGGAATTCTGCCCATACTGCGAGTGCCTGTGTGAATGGCAACCAGATTGGGAATACCATCATTCATAGGATTTTTGTTTGATCTCGTTCTTGCAATGATAGGGAGTCGTGTTTATCAGTAAATGTTAACTAGCCACTAATAAATTAGAGGAAAACTGCTCAGCAAGAACTAATAGCCAAGAAAACCAAATGATGGTCATATGATTTTTGTTTGATCTTGATGGGGCATTAATAGGGAATGTTAACAAACTGTAAAATTTTACTGAAAAGTCATCAAGAACTTATACTGAAGAAGGACTGAAGAAAATAAACGCATTAAAAATATGAAATAATTCTTCATATCTGGGGCTAATAAATGAAGTTTTGTGGAAAAACACACAAAGTCTTAATTAAACCAGCAGAAAAAACAATGACAGTGACTTGTTGTTTGACATCGCAGGGAATCATAATTATTAGTGAATGGTAATGAACCATGAAATTTTAGGTCTGCAAGAACAATACAGAAAAAAATTTGAAATAATTTTAAATAGTAATATTAAATAATTCTTCAAATCTGGGGCTGATAGATTATTAATGAACTATAACATTTGTGACTTTCATATGAATTTTGTTTGATATCACAAGGAATCATGATTATCAGTCAATGTTAATGAACTATAATATTCACTGTAAAATAAAAACCATTCAGCAAAAGCCAATACCAAAGAAGAAAATCAAAAAAGTGAGATAAAATCAGATAAACACATCAGCCTACATGTAGTGTCATTTAACCTTTTGCACAGCATACACATAAAAAATAATAAAGTTGTTTAATATGTAGGTTTAAAAAAAAGTATTTTGTGATTTCTCTTTTTCTTTTCAAATGTGAAAAATCTATTTCCCGCCAGTTAATCGGACCCCACACACGGAAAGGTCCTGATGATGACGTCAGTGTAGGTGAGTTATAAAAATAAAACGGGGAAGAAAGCACATGGACGCGAGCAGCTGAAATCAATAAATCAACTACTTGATGCTCTGAATCGGGTCTGATCGGGATACGGAGCAGCTCGCGCTCTCTCTGTTTAAGGACCGCCTCGCGAGCGACGGGACACTGGCCAATACGATCCAAAAGTCACGGAAATCTTTGTGTAGCGAGAGTTTCCACGCGTGAAAATGATCCAAGAGGGGGAATAATCCGAGAGCACGCGAGAGAAACAAAGAGGGAGCGCGAGGGAGAGAGAGAGATCACTGATGAGGAGGAGGAGGATGATGGTGGTGGCCTAGAAACATCAGGAATTCCTCGTTCCGCTCGACTGGATCCCAAGACGATGGGGGATTTTACGCATTGCAAAGAAAAGGGGCTCGCTTTTCTCCTCCGCGCACCCCGGCTTTACTTTTGACTTCGAGGATGCGTTGAAGTCTCCCAGTCCGAGAGTCACTGGCTCACGTGAAAAGGAACAGCGGCTCTGCGCATTAATGCGTGTGTGCGCGAGCGCGTACGCGTGCTCTCCCGTGACCGATGGCACTGGAATCCGTGCGCAACGGCTATGTGCGCACTTGTGTCACTCCCGTGGAGCAGGACTGCTGGCACTCGTGCTTGGCTCTCGTGTGGAGCCGTAGGAGCCTGTCCTCGGCCGTGTGCGTCGCCTCGCTGTCCGTGCTGCTCGCGCTGCTCGCTCAGTCCGCGGACTGGGACGCGGAGCGCGCACACGCGCACTCCGGCTCTCACCTGGTGACGCTCGTGGAGCTCGTGTGGCAGCTGCTCTCGCCCGTCTTCACGCTCGTGTGTGCCTTCTTCTGGGTGGGTGTGTATCTGCTCCGCTGCGGGGTGCTCATCCGCACGGCCGTGTTCCTGCTCACCGTGTGCCATCTGGGCGAAGCGGCGGCGCAGTCGCTGTTGGATGCGCAGCAGCTGTACTCGTTCACGGCCACCGCGCTGGTGCTGCTCGCCTGCCTGGCCAGCGGGGCGCTCATGGTGGTGCGGCTGGGTCAGGGCATCTCCGTGCTCCTCTTCATCAGCATCATCAGGACCGTATCGCTGCTGTCGCTGCAGAAGGTGCGCGCCAGCTGGAGACCCTACCTGGCGTACCTGCTCGGGGTGCTGGGGGTCCTGTTGGCGAGGTATGCGGACAGGCTGCTGCCGGAGCAGGGCGCATCACACCGGGAGGGATCGAGGGGAGATATTCCGGTATTTAAGAGGCGCAGGAGGTCCAGCTCCGTAGTCTCGTCAGACATGGCACAGCACGGCCAGCCCAGGAGCAAATCTCACAGACGGACATCGCTGCCCTGTTTGCAGAGAGACCAGGTATGTCCTCATTATTGATAGTGCTGCTATCGATCGCAAACGACAATCGGAACGGGAACGTCTTTAGAAGTCCGATCGTGATCGTTTACTGTAAATGCTTGCGTATTAGCGGATTAAAACATGACATTGTTATTATTCCTGTCGCTTTCGATCACAAGAAGAACAATAATGCCGCGTCAGGACGCGCTTTAAACACGTTTTAGGCTGTATTGCTTCTGAATTAGGAAATTAAGCAGCTGTTTAACAACACGACTGTCTTAATGTTGCTTTTGCTGCTATTGATCATATTAATTAAAAAAATAGGTCACACGTTAGTGTTTGTTTGCATAAATTATATTAGTGGTACTAATTAACTGCATGTACTTACTGCTGTTGTAAGGAATTATAATACCATAATGCAATGTAAAGTGTGTTACCTCTTATTATTACATGATCATAAATCTATGAAAATGTATTTCGGTTGGTTGTGTTTTTCCAGAGGTTTTTGTTTTCCCTGCCACTTACTTGGATACTTGGAATGCTTTCACTCAAGCATGCATTCTTAGATTTCATGTATGACATAATATCAGCAGGAAAAGCTCATGGCTAAAGCAGTGAACTTTGAACTCTTGTACTCTATTTGGTGTGTTTTTGATTTTACAGCTGTGCTGACATGCTTTGTTATATTTTAAATTAGCACATAAACAAAAATCTCACAGAACTAGCATGCATATAGACTACAGTGGAGATTTCTGCACAACGGGGTTGCAAAAACATGTAGAAGTGTGTTTGTGCATATTAGAGGTATTTTACATACACACACAGGTACAGAGGACTGTGTGTAGCACAATTTGGCTTGTCAACGGGATGTCATGGTGTTTGGCTGCATGTACAGTAAAGCAGTACATTTCTTAAGCTATGTAGCTTAAAAGAACGTAACATGATCAGACACCTTATTTTTGTACATTTTTAGTCATCAAAGTAAATTTTTTTGCAAAAAATTATATATATATATATATATATATATATATATAGAGAGAGAG